CAAGCTCCGAGTCTCCTTTCAGGTTTTCCATTCCTCAGATCATCCTAATAGCCCTTCTCTGTACCTGTTCCATGTTTAAGGATGAATTCAAACTGGGAGACCCAGAACTAAATAATGGGTTTGGAAGTCTCGAATATTAGAATTCTCTAAAAACGTGAGTTCAGCCCTGGGCTACCTCCATCTGTTCAGAATGCAAGAGCCTTCTTGACCTCTTCTCAAATAGGGGACTCAGCAAAGTGACTTATGCAAGGAATTTGTTCCCCAGCTTCCATCATTGAGACTACTTCATGAGAGAAGTTCCTCTCAGGGACCCATCTTGCCAATCAGTTTCCAAAGGATTTCATTCTCTGGGCCACAAGTAAGGGCTCTGGGGACTCCTGCTTAAAAGCTACTGATGAAGATCTTGTTCTTAGTATTCAGAGTACTCAACTGAGGGACTACACAGATATCACTCCCACCCTATTGGGTGTAACCAATTTGCATATTAGAAACATTTCTGTGAAGTGCTAAAAACTAAAAGCAACTAACTGCCTATTCCAGTGGTTTTCAACCTTTTTTCGTTTGCAGACCCCTAATGAATTTCAAATGGTGGTACAGACCTCTTTGGAAATTCAACCTGTAGTCCAAGGACCCCTACCACAGAAGTCTTAAACTAAAGACTGACTGAACAGAATTCAACTGTAAATGCGGCACGTGCTCAGCATGGCATTTGATGCACCGTGAAAAGGGCACTAAACTGTGAGCATCTATGGTAACGACAACAGTTCTGATGGACCACAGGTTGAAAACCACTGGTCTATTCCCTCCAATACAGCTGCTAGTTTGAGAAGATGCATTAAAAAGCATTTGATTTAGTGACAAGAGCCCATCATCTCCTCTTTTTCCTTCAAAACTCTGTTCCAGATGCATTAGTCTTTGTAATACAGTCTGTTGCTCTATGTCGGACAGGTACTGTTCTGGCCAAGTTAAATCACACCCACTCCATGAGCCTGCCCAAGTCAGAAGGTGAAGCAGATGGAAAATAAAGTTATACATGCAGATAGCAATATCTTGATTTGATTGGGAGGGACAGATGAGAAACTGGGCAAAGAGCAGAAAGAACAGGCCTCAGGGACTGATGGTAGAAGGACAAGCCAAACCGGTTTAAACATTAATAATGCTGCATTACTTTCCAAATACCACCATCAACAAAACATCAGCTCAGCCAGTCAGTTGCCCAGTGAGTTCTGGGAAGTGTGAACACTTTTTTGAAGCATTAGTAATAAAGCAGGCAGGTGTTGCAGCAGAAAAGCAGAGCCTACCTACCTGCTTCACTCAGACCCCTTCTCTCCCCTCACATCTCCCATTTAATAAGAGCTTGATTAAAGAGATCGTCTGGATGTTATAAGTGCAGGACCAGTATATGAAATGGTGCTATGATCTGGCATGCCAACCCCTAAAAGGTTGAAGCACAGCACCTCAAAGATTGGTTTTAGGTACCTAGGATCAATGGAGCTCATAGGAATGTTCTCACATTTAAATATTACATCATGTTAACATGATCCAGTCGGTTACTTAACATAAACAGAGCATAGGAATTATGCCATGGAGCTTTCAGGAATATTTTCAGCCCTTTTACATGTGGGAAGGCTGCCTCAGCCAGAGAAAACCTGGCTGCAGTGAGAGCCGCATGGGGCATCACATGCCACTTGAAAGAAGTAGAGCTTGCTCCAAAGCATTTCTGGCTCTTGCATTGTACAGGCTCTGAGGGAACATCACCATACAGGATCACATAGCCCTCAAGGCCCTGCCCTTACACAAACACAAAATAGACTCCATGTCCTGTGGAGTCTCAACCATATGTCTGCACCCTCGCCATATCTTGGGTGTAGAAAAATTACAGGCCACATGCTGTGTGATCCAGCATGTTGTACCAACACTACAAAAAGGGACGAACTCCTCCCACACTAACCTAGATGCTGCATCACCAGAGACCACTCCTCAGTGGGGGTTGGCCCATTCTACTAAAGCAAACTTGGTGGTGCAAATAAATTCAATATTGCAACACTAGAATACAGCCAAACTAATTAAGCATAGGGCAATATGCTGTATTGAGTGTTCTGTAAACTCAGCATAAGGCGTTATAGATACAGCTATGCAGAAACGTTTTCTTTGGAGGCATCTGAACTCTTTAGGACACAGCCTACCAAATCCACAGCCCATTATATTCCCCAAGCACACTAGGTTGCAATGTTAATTTCATACCAAATGTGGTCAAAGAGCATCCAAAAGCTGTACTACTCAAGAAGTTTTTGCCCTGTGCTAGGCTTTGGATTTAGTTGTGGGAAAGCCTGATGGCAGCCATGACAAGGATTCTGTATCTGATGAATTCACTCGGGCTTGCTGGTCATAAAGAGGGCTGCCAAATGTTAAAGGAGTAGACACTTCATGTATTCTGGCCTGAGAGCTTTCTTGCTAAACCACCAGCATCTTGGATTAGAGCTTCAGGGCAGAAACTTGAACAAAAAGTAATAAGTGGTGACCGGCCTACAGAGCCTCAGGCTGCAAGTGAAACAATGGGGACAATTAAACCTAGTTTGGGGATACTCTAATCTCTTGCAATTGCCCCTGTCCCAATGCAGTCCCTACTAACCAGCACCAAAGCAGGAGTCAGAGCAGGATGCCTTCTGACTGGAGCGTAGACACTTGTAAAAATTAAAAGTTAAAAGCCAGAAACCCCTCTGAGTTACATACACGCCTGGTGTTTGTACAGGGTCCTGACTCATTTTGCAAGTTAGAGAGGGTCTAATGCCCATAAAAATGACTCGGGGTCCCAGTACAACTACATGTAGAGACGCTTGTAAAACTTCTGATTACATTTTACAGCCCTCACTATATCTGAGCACCTTACACATTCAAAATATGATAATGTTGAGGGATTTTTTAAAAATTCCTTTCCATCCTCCCTCAGACTTTTGATCTCCATACAGCTTTGCTCTCCAATCCTAACCTATATCCTTGATATGCAAGTTCTGCCCCCCCCCTTTCCCCAAATTCTACCATTGCACCTCAAGCCTAACCTGCAGCATCCCTGTTAGCCCACTCCTGAGCCTCTTTGAGAACTACTGGGGTACAGACAAGCAAGAAGAGCAGGGTCCATCCAAGGGCACGGTAGTCACAGAGGCAGAATCAGAAGGGGAAGGCACAGAGGTAAAGGAGCACAAAAGAAAGAGCATGTATTGTGGTAGATTAGTTGCAGAGTGAGTAGAAGGAGGAAGGTTGTAAGGCATGGGACTAATGCTGATAAAACAGAGCCTGCAGGGCAGGAGGGTGGGTAAGTTGGTTGGTAAGAAAGTAGGGTCAGCATCAGAAGAGGTATCACCTGATAGGAGGAGAAAAGAGGAAGATTTGTGAATAATCAGAAGGAGCTGGAGGACCCAATGTTGGCACAGAGAAGGGAGAGGAAAGGAGTCTCTGACCCAGCAGAGGAAAAGAATGTGGTAAGGACTGAGAAGAAAACAAGGAACTTGGTGTAGACAGGCAAGTGGGGAGCAGGATAGGAGTTGAGCCTGGGGGTAAAACTCACGTAGACAGGAAAATGGTATTTGGAAGCATAGCAGTGCAAAGGCAAGTGGCAAATCCATTTGAATGGCAAGCCAAGTAAGTGTTACTCAAACAAACAATAGAAATCGGTCATCAATACATAAATAACGGTGAGTAGTTCAGGATCCATCAAGCCACGCGGTCCTATCATCAGGATATTTTCAGATGGAAACCAGCTACTCTTCTCCCTCATCCCACTCCATTCAATACACAAGCCAGCAAAACTAGGGACAGTTTAAAACCACAAGACAGGGACAGCCTTAGATACATCTGCCCCTTTCACCTACTCAAAGTTTATGGAAGTGGGGAAAATCGTGGCCATATTTACTTCAAAGCCTCCTGCCAAGTAGCATGTTCCCTCCCTGGATAATGGCTATAAATTGCTTCAGAAGCAGGCACAAAATCATCTGGAAAGAAAGGCCTTTCTGTTCTCCCTTGGAAAAACCTAATTTCCTCCTGATGGGAAAAGCCAGGTTTCTGCCACCAGCACATATGATATTAAGTCAGGTAAGGACAAAGTCTCACAGGATATTGGGGGGAGCTAAACCTGGAATCCTGGCTCCACAGCTTAAACATACCGAAAGATTGGGGGGGGCGGGGGGAGAAATGGGGTGTTTGAGCTCTGGGAAAGCCTGCATAACACTTCTCTTCTCCTCCATTAACAAGGCTGGCTATAATCCATTACTCCCCCTGAAGAGAGGGATTAGATCTAGTTCGAGATCATGAGGCGAGGATGGAATTGGAGCAATGCTGTTGTTACCCCAGCTAGAGTATGGGTGCGGGAGCCCTTTGGTGAGGGGAGCTCAGCCGCTTATCTGGGCTTCCCCTCGGCAGCCCGGTATTCTCAGCCCGGGGAAATCGGGGATTGGCACACGGTAAAGGAAAACCCCAGCTGCGGGGCGCGCCGTAGGAGGGGGATTTCAGCAGGTCCCGGTGACGGGAGGCGATTGCCGCAGAGCCGGGGTTTGGGGCAGCCTTACTCATACCCCAGCTATGAGGGCTGGGCACTATTTGCGCCATGTGCTGATACTGGAGCCCGGGGGCGGCCGCAGGAGGTGGGCATGAGGCAACGTCCAGCCAAGGGCTGTCGCTGTCCACCCCCGGGACGGGGAGGCCTTCTGCCCTACCCACGCACCCCACCAGCAGGGGACGGGGACGGGAAGAGACTCCGAGGAGAGCTGTCCCGCTTGGGGCCGTGGTGCGGCCGCTCCCCAGCCCTTCCCTGGCGCTGGGCCGTGAGGGACCATCTGGGACACAGCGAGTGGCAGGAGGCCGATCCGAGCCCGGTAGCCTGCAAAGAGGGAGTCCGGACCCGAGCCCGCCCCCAAGCGCTGCCCCCCTCGCTCAGAGCCCCGCGACACCCCCCGACGGAGGCACGAAGCCCGGACACCCCCCGGCGCGGGCGGGCGGGCACTCACCGACTCGGCGGAGACGGCGCTGGCGGCTACCAGGAGAAGCAGAGCGGCGCAGAGCGCCCCGGGGTGCCTCGCTGACAGCAGCTGCATGGTGCTCGGGTGGCGCTAGTGGACAGGCGGCTGGGGCAACACGATCAAACGGCTTGAACCATCCCCACAGCCACGCATCTTATAGGCGGCCCGGCCCCGCCCCGCCCCCGGGGGAGGCGGAGCTGCGGGCCCAAATCGGGAGGGGAATGCCCGAAACTGCTGGGAATCCGGGACGTGCTGCCGCCCTCCTAGTCCCGGAAGGGGCACTCCTGGGCTATGGGTAACCACCTACCCTGCAGCCCCCTCCCCTCCCAAGCTCCCCTTCTGCTCCCATACAATTCCCCTCCCCAATCTCATGGGGCCCAACCAACACCATCCTGCCTTCTCCCACCTAACAGCCCCCTTCCCAACCTCCTGGGGCCTGACACCACCCTGTTCCCCTCCCAACAACCCTCTCCCCAAGCTCCTGGGGCCCAACACCACTCTGTTCCCCCCCACCTAACAGCACCCTTCCCAAGCTCCTAGGGCCTGACACCACTCTGTTCCCCCCCTTCACCTAACAGTCCCCTCCCCAACCTTCTGGGGCCAATACCACCCTGTTCCTCCCTCCATCTAACAGCCCCCTTCCCAGTTCCTTCCCTGGTCCTTTGTATTCCACCCCCTCACCACGCCCTACATTTCACCACCACTTTACAGCCTCCTTACATCCCCTTTCTAAATGCCGCCATGTGCAACTCTAACACTTCACCTTCACCCTTGAAGGCCCTGTCATCCCCTGACACCCTGCTTCCTGAACTCCCCTCACATTCCCACCATCCCCCTTCCACCTCCAACCCAGCCCTGTACCGCCTTCCCATTCACCCTCTTACACCAATAAGAACTTTATGAATACATAGGAAGAGAGGGAAATGGGAAGTCAGATTTTGGGCCATGCTACCTTGACTGTCTCTCTTAAAAATCAATGTATGAGAGAGAAACCAGCATATGAAAATACCATTTTAAATATGATTTTTATATATATTTATAACAATAGGATTTTTTTTTTAAATCCTCCTGTTGTCCTCCCCTCTGGATTTGCCTTTTCTGCCCATCTTCTCTGGGTCTCTCCTGTGGATTCTAAATCCTTCTAGGTAAAGCCTGGTTGTACTTCTGGGTGTTATACAATGCTTATCATACCGTTGGCTGTTAACAAATAATAGATTATTGCAAAAGGGGCCAATGGGAATTAATGTTAACAAGAGTGCACCATGAAATTAACAAAGACTGGTCACTTTAGTTTTCTGGAAAAAAAAAAAAGAAGAAGAAATTTTAAAATAAAATAAAGGTGGTTGTATTTTAAGGGTACCAAAAATGTTCTGTTGGTCATTCAACTGAAACAAGCAGGGCACATGTTTTATGACAGGAATGAGGCCCTGATCCTGTAATTTGATTAAGCACTCGGACCCCTATGCCTATGAGGAGCCCTGTTGATTTCAATAAGACACCACTCCAACATAAGGGTCTGCCACAAGGATTTAATTACAGGATTCAGGCCAATATCTAAATCCAGAACAACATTTAAAACAACACAAACCATGATGACAATGTTTTCTCCAGCATTTAAGACTAAGCTGTGAAGGCTGGTGATGTTTCCAGGGCAAGTTTTCATCATCAGGCAATCTTTATGCAAAATAACTTCCAGGAAAATCTATTTTGCCCCTGAATACTAACTGCAACTACAACAGACATTTTAACACTGCGCTTAGATACTACGGTGCCTAGATACAATATCTTTGATAAACATGGAAATAATCTGTAAAAAGAAACAGAGGGTCCTGTGGCACCTTTAAGACTAACAGAAGTATTGGAGCATAAGCTTTCGTGGGTGAATG